AAAAAAAAAAGATTTACAGATATATTTTGGGGGTATTTAGACTCATGGACAGCAAACATGAATATTTGTATGTACAACTTCTGATTCTTATTGAAGAAAATCATCCTCCTTTCTCTATAATGCTTTCAAAGACGTGGTGTCACTCAGTACCATTTGACTTTGAATGTATTTGAAATGCACTGAACTGTTAATCTACAGGCCACAGTTGTGTGTAAATATCTTCACATTTAAAAGTGTTTGTTCTTTTCAAAATGATTGTCATCATTTGGCTGGTGGCCGGGGCCAGCTGGTGGTAATTTCTCACTGTTGTGTGGCGCTCCAAAGAGCCTGGCGCTTGTGCACATGAATAGATGCACGCTCTGAGAACGCACACCTTTATACAGGCTGCAGCGATTCGCTCCGATGATACATCAAGATTACAACATCATCAGTATGAGGCTGTTTCACAGTACCAACTGAATAGAGAAATACTTGCACAGCATCTAAAAAATGATCAGTTAGAAGTTTGAGAGTGCCTCTCATGTTCAGCATCAAAATGTTGGTTTGTGAGCTTAAAAGCAAATAAAGATGTGCTGCAAGATGCACACTTCAGCGTGGATTGTGCACTAAAAGCTTTTTAAAAATAATCTATAATCTAAATTGATACTCAGCCTCAGTGAGATGAGCGTAGCCATGCCAACAGTGTAACCGCAAAAAACATTTCTACATGAACCTCAGGATTTCCCAGCAGGACGTGGTGTTATTTACTTCACCTGTCAGTGGCTTTAATGCTTATTTTAAATGGCATATTTGGGTTTTAAAAAGAGTTTTATGATTTAGACTATTCCAGCAGACAGAAACACGACTCCAAATAAATGGTTATGTTATTCTCGTTTGATGGATGTTATAAACTCTTTATGGGGTGATGATTGCATTCTCAGCTTGCTGCACCCATGTGGCTAAAAATGAGTTAAAGCATGTTTGATGTCTTTAGCAGCTGAAAACTCTTATTTTCCTCTCAGTACTCACCTGAAGCTTGAATGATACGACTTTTTTATTTACGTCTCTCCTCGTGTCTGTGCTGATCATAGCCACCGGCGACTGCTGCTGACAGGAACCCCTCTACAGAACAGCCTGATGGAACTCTGGTCCCTCATGCATTTCCTCATGCCCCACGTCTTCCAGTCCCACCGCGAGTTCAAAGAGTGGTTCTCCAACCCACTGACGGGAATGATCGAGGGCAGTCAGGAGTACAACGAAGGCCTGGTTAAGAGGCTTCACAAGGTGCTGAGGCCGTTCCTGCTCAGGAGGATCAAGGCTGACGTGGAGAAGCAGATGCCCAAGAAATACGAGCATGTGGTGCGCTGCCGCCTGTCCAAGAGACAGCGATTCCTCTACGATGACTTCATGGCGCAGGCGTCGTAAGTTACTGACTCAGCAGGAGGAATTCAAAGTTAATGTAAATTTAGTTTGTGTTTTGAAACGTAGTCACCAAAAGAAGGTGAGAAGTATGTAATTGAAACTGGGGAAAAAAAATGTAATTGAATTTGACCCTAAACCATCTGATTTACAGGACCAGGGAAACGCTGGCCAGTGGTCACTTCATGTCTGTGATTAACATCCTCATGCAGCTTCGCAAAGTGTGCAATCATCCCAACCTTTTTGACCCTCGACCCATCCAGTCTCCCTTCATCATGCAACCCATTATTTTCCACACAGCCTCTCTGGTGCATGACGCCCTGGAGGTATCTCCTTTGAAGGTAAGCCTGAAAATAAAAAGCTTTCATTTGTTCAGAAAGTTGAGCCTGATG